CTGTAGTGAACCAGATGACCTCAAATCTACCAGATGGACAGAGACTGTTATTTTCATTGATCTGAATAAGTCTGAACCATCTGATGAACTTTCTTTCTTGAATTAATCAAGCAGAAAAGACAATTCTTTATAATCATTACTGTCTTACAAATGTTTTGATAATCAAATTGTGTTAGTTCACTCAATGCTTTACAGGTTGAAAAGAACTACTAATTTTTATTTTACATAAACAGTAAGTAATGATTTTTGTTCCTCATTCAGAGAAGAAATCACCTGAATATGCCTTTCTTGATTTTCTGTCTGAAATGAGCAAGCTGTCGTAAGTATGTGAAAGGTTGGTCTTCGGTCAACTAAAATGTTTACTGAAGAAGAAATGTCATGTTTAAACTTTTTCAGAAGATTACCAAGAGTAGACTCCAAAAAGTCTGCTGCTTCTGCAATAATCTTTTCTGTATGTTAAACAAGTTTCATTCTCTGACCTCGACTGTTGATAAACACCTTACGTCAAAAACACTCCTCTTTCTGGTCCTTCCACGAATCAGAAAGCTCTAAACTGAACAGGAAGTCGACCCAAATAAAATGTGGCACTTCCCAGTTCAAGTTAGATTGAGAGTTCTGAGAGATGTTGGATTGAGAGCTGACAACAGGTCCGATAGTCCAACAGAATGAGCAGATTGAGAGTGCAGCCGGTTCTGAAAGTTTCAGAGCAATGAAGAATCCAGAGGTTTTGGGATTATAATTCTGTTTTGAACTAACCACGCACGACTCTTCGAGGATTTTAGCTGTTTTCAACGGAGACGCTGATATCAGTTGAAAAGGATTCTTACTGAGCTGATCTATCATCAACCAGGTAACGGCCTCTTCTTCGACTAAAGTGTACCGTGGACAGGCTGGAGATCTGACGGAGCGTGCAACTTCTGGTCAAACAGATTAAATTCCCTCACACATTTCCTCTGTAAGATAAATCTCAATTTAATCTTAAACTCTTCTCTCTCATAAATCAGTACAGATATTTTTAGAAATGTCTGAAGCAAAGTCCTCAAATCACCGCCGAGTGATTTGAAGTTCATTTTCTGTGAAACTGTCTGTTATTATTTTCATATTTTGCCAAATTAATGTAAATGTTTGATGTTAAACTTTGATTTTGAAAATAAATGATTCCATTCATTTGATGGGTCAAAGATAAATAACGTCTCTCGTTCACATTTCTGTTAAATTCAATGCACGGCATTTACAGTCAGAAAAATGAAGAACTCGTGAATATTGTATGCATATATAATTCATATATTTGTCATACAACAAGTGACACGTACCTCACGTGACTCACTACAGTCCCCAACTGAACCGAGTCTACCGGACTATCAGGTGTGAAAACAACCTGAGATTGTGGACTCTTATAAGTACCTGGGTGTTCACCTGAACAATGAACTGGACTGGTCTCACAACACTGATGCACTTTACAGGAAGGGTCAGAGCAGACTCTACCTGCTGAGGAGACTGATGTCTATTGGAATGCAGGGAGTGCTCCTGAAGACCTTCTTTGACTCGGTAGTGGCATCAGCCATTTTCTATGGTGTTGTGTGTTTGAGCAGCAGCTTATGAGAATAAGAAGCTATATAAGCTCATCAAGAAGGCCAGCTCTGTGCTTGGATGCCCCCTCAACCCAGTGCAGGTGGTGGGAGACAGAAGGACTCTAGATAAAATAACATCATTGCTGGACAACGTCTCCCACCCCATGCATGAAGCTGTTGCTGAACTGGACAGCTCGTTCAGTGACAGATTACTGCATCCTAAATCCACAAAAGAACGTTACCACAGGTCCTTCCTCCCAGCAGCTGTTAGACTCTATAACCATCACTGCTCCCAACAAACTCAATAAGGATTAATTGCATGCTGACCTCTGCTAAAACACACACTCTGCCTTAGGGCATTAACAGAGTACTCGAGTAATCTACACATCGATTACTATGACATCTATCGAGGTTAAAAATTTAACATCGAGTATCCGTAGTGACTTCATATTATGTGACCACCGTATGACCGTAGGGGGCGGTGTTGCACTGTTGCAGGTTACAGAGTATGGTGTAACACCGGGTCCAATCCACCGAACCATAACCAGTTACGGTTTAAGTTTTGTTTTTGACGTGCTGCATGTTTCTTCACGTTTGCAGTTTAATAATAAAAACTAATAGTTTAGTTTTTCCTGTGACTTATTTGCAGTATGATAAATGGTAGGAGCATAATATACGCTCCCAATGTTTTGTTGGTCTTTTTTTTGTAAATAATTACCTTTTCTTGCGGTTTTATTCATTTTTGTGTCTTGAGATCTATGACATCATCAAATACTCGAGTTCTACTCGGGTTTTATTATGTTAATGTCGAGTTTAAAAATGATATACTCGTTCAACCCCTACTCTGCCTATACTACTGTATTGTAAATAGTCTGTCCTTATCAATGTTCCAATACATATTGAACATTATTATTGATATTGTTTATCTTATTTCTTTATATATTGTATTGTTTATTAACGTTTAGGAACTTTTGTGTGAAATCTTTTTTATCTTTTTATCTGTTGCTGCTGTTGCTGCTGTTACACTTGAATTTCCCATCCGTGGGACAATAAAGGCTGTTTCTATTATGTTCTATTCTATTCTACTTGTGCAGTTTTCAACTTTAAAAAGGTAACGATTAAACTGACAACTCTGATTTTACTTCAGTCACGGCATTACTGCGGTTAGCCGGTAGAAGACAGATCTCTATCGTAGGCTAAATTTCTATCGTTCCTACCGTATACCGTATATATCACTCATTACATGACATTAAACATTTTGTTACACTTCAGTCATTAGAAAATGTCTAAACATTAACTGTAGTCATTTGAATAAACTGTGATTATTGTATTCACTACAATCATATTCAATTAATAACAATTGGATGAATCTACCAATATATTTACACTCATCATTTCTTTACCTTGTATTATTATTTACACCCTTGTCTCTTTCTATGAGTAAGCTGTTTATCTCAAAGTGCATTACTTGTTTAAAGCCTAGAGAAAAAGGAGAGACACAAAGTAAGAAGGGTCATGTGATCCTTACATTTTAAATTGGTTAAGTTGGGCGGCTGTAGCTGAGTGGTTAGAGCAGTTGTCCTCCAATACAAGAGTTGGGGGTTCGAATCCACCAGCAGTCACATGTCGAAGTGTCCCTGGGCAAGACACTGAACCCCTCATAGCCTCCAATGTGTGTCCCATCGCTGTATGAATGTGATAAAGCACTGATTAGTCTCTTTAGAATGATTTGTTCAATTTGCTTTGTAGAGATCTAGTAGAGTGCTGTATGAATGGGTAAGTGAGGACACAGATTGTAGTGTAAAGCGCTTTGAGTATCTTGAAATAAGATAGAAAGGTGCTATATAAGTACAGTCCATTACAGTCCATTTAAGTTGACCTTGTCCTAATTTTTCAACCCTGTTTTATTTCACAGAGGTGCATCATTAACAACACACATCGGTTGATTGAACTGTGTGTGGCCAAGCTTTCTCAGGACTGGTTTCCACTACTGGAGCTGCTGGCCATGGCCACCAACCCCCACTGCAAGTTCCACATCTACAACGGCACACGGCCCTCTGAGACCGTACCTGCTGGGGCACAGCTTGCTGACGACGAGCTCTACGCTCGGCCACCGGACCCACGATCCCCTAAGGTGACTGACCACAGCACTTAGTGAACATAAAAACCGAAACCATCAAACTTTATTTTTATCCAACAAGCCACACCCTAGTTTCTTTTAAAACTCACCTGTGTGTGTTTAATTTGTAAAACATTGTGCAAAATTAGTTAATGTTGTATTAAATGTACAACATGTTTGTGTGTATATAATTTTTTCCCATCTGGAACAATTATGAAAAAAAAAGTTTTCTCTTCCCAAAAAAACAATTGACTTTCATCATCTGAAATAAAAATCACTGAAGCCATGACTAGTAGCCCACATGAAACAGAAAATGAAAATAATCAAATATTCTAAACACAAAGTTCAAAACTCTTGTTGGATGTCAGACTGTATAATAAAGCTCAATGCACATGGTGATAGAGATTAAACAGTGAAAGATTGATACAATACAATATCATATACAATATTTATAAAGCACCTTAAAAAGAACACCGTTGGCCAAAGTGCTGTACACTAACATACAAGGAAGCATAAAAAAATATAAAATCAGCTGAAACTGTAAAAGTAATGAACTGTTAAAATCATAAAATGGCAAAAACAATAAACAAATACATTTTTCAGTCAGTTCATCTGGACAGTTTCTTTTGTTTGTGCTGAAACGTTTCACCTTCGATCCAGAATGCTTCATCAGTCAAGGAAACACAACAAAACTGATTCTTCCCCCAACAGCTTACTCCAAACTGGAACAAACCAGTTCTGCTTGTGATTAGATGGTCTCTTTGGTACGTCCCTCCTCCATTGCCGGCCCTCTTCCTTGTTGACAGTCTTGTCAAACTGGTTGAAAACAACAAAGTCCATGCTCAATAATCCAGGTATAAAATCCAACATTTTTTTCAGTCTGGTCATCTGGACAGTTTCTTTTTTTGGGCTGAAATGTTTCACCTTCTATCCAACCAGTTTGACAAGACTGTCAACAAGGAAGAGGGCAGGCAATGGAGGAGGGGCGTGTTACTCCTTTGTTTTGTTTAGTTTGCATGCCAATCCGCTAGGGGGCACTGTCATGCCAGTAGCGCATGGGAATGTGGTTTACACTCTTCTTCTGTGGTGTCAGTGTTGTTGAGCTGTGATGAGCATGGTGGAATAAAGTTCTATTGAATCCAAAAGGAAAAGTTATTTTTATTGACTAACATTGGTAGCAGAGGATGGTTAGCAACTACAGAGTTCCACCAACGTTTGAAGAAGGGAAGCCTTATGAAAGTTGGAAGAATGAAGTCAACATTTGGACGAGAGTTACAGATTTGGAGAAGAAAAAGCAAGCACTTGCTGTCGCCCTGGCGCTGTCTGGAAGGGTGCGAGACACGGCAATGGAAATTCCGGTAGACGATCTAAATAAAGACACTGGAATGACCACATTGTTAGCTAAACTAGATGATTTGTTCCTAAAAGAGGAAAAGGACAGGGTCTATGAAGCGTACTCAGATTTTGACCGGGTCATTAAAGAAGCAAACATGTCGATGGCAGACTATATTATTGATTTCGAGCAGCGCTACTCGTGCATGAAAAAAATACAACATGGAGCTACCTGACGCTGTTTTGGCTTTTAAGCTTTTGGACACTGCTTGTTTGGATATGACGGACAGACAGTTGGCTCTAACGGCATGTTCAGATATAATTTTTGCTTCAATGAAGTCTGCTTTGAAGAGAATATTTGGCGAAAAAAAAAAGAGTGAGACAGCAGAAAATATTAACCAAGAGTCCTTGTTTGTAACAGAGCAACGGTGGCAAAAGGGCATGTCCTGGCGGCAAAATACTCGTCAGAAAACTCCACAGTCCAGCACTGCACAGCCCGGTACAAACCCGTTGGATAAGTATGGGCGACGATCAAAATGTGCAGTGTGCCAAAGTACTTTTCACTGGGTTAAAGACTGTCCGCACAAAGCTGAGAGTGTTAAAATAACCGATGATACAACAAACGTGGAAGAATGCAATATAACTCTGTATACCAAAGAATCACCAACAGATGCAGAAATATTCATGACAGAATGTTTTGGCTCAGCAATAATAGACACTGCTTGTACTAGGACAGTTTGTGGACAAGAGTGGCTGGACAACTACAGTACTGTGTTAAAAAAAAAGAAAAGTATGAAGACGATGAAAGAGACAAAAACACAAATTCACAGGCCCTTTAAGTTTGGAGATGGAAGAGTTATCCACTCCATCAAAAAGGTAAGGATACCTGCTAAGATCAGCAACAAAAAGTGTAATATAGAAACTGAAGTGGTACCTGCTAACATTCCACTGCTTCTGAGTAAAACATCATTAAAAAGGGCTGGGACAGTTTTGGACATGGAAAACAACAGTGCAGTGATGTTCAACCAGCCTGTCAAACTGGACTTTACTAGCTCTGGTCATTACTGTGTGAACATTGTGGACAGTGAAAATAAAAATCTTACTTACTCAGATAAGCTATTAGATGCTACTGAGGAAGAAATACTGACTACAACAGATAAGATGAACACAAGTGAAAAGATGAAAGTTTTAAAGAAACTTCATAAACAGTTTGGGCACGCCTCTGCTGATAAAATACAAAGACTTTTGACTAGTTCTGGCAATAAGGACACAGAATGCAACAATCTGATGAAAAAGATTGTGAACCAGTGTGAAGTGTGTCAAAAATATTGTAAGACCAAACCAAAACCTGCTGTCGGTTTACCATTGGCATCTACATATAATGAGACAGTTGCTGTAGATATGCATGAGCTTGAACCTGGGGTGTGGTACCTACATATCATTGATCAGTTCACACGTTTCAGTGCTGGTAGTGTTTTAACCACCAAGAGATCTTCTGAAATAGTCAAACGTTTTATCCATGATTGGATCAGTGTGCATGGCCCACCACAAAAGTTGTTAAGTGACAACGGTGGTGAGTTTAATAACGAGGAAGTGAGAGACATGGCCGAAAACTTTACTATTGAAGTTAAAACGACACCTGCTTACAGCCCGTGGAGTAATGGACTTTTAGAGCGCCATAATCAAACTCTGACTGAGATCCTAATGAAAGTTAAAACAAGTACTGGATGTGACTGGAGCACTGCCATGGACTGGGCTCTGATGGCAAAGAACTCTATGCAAAGTGTCCATGGATTTAGCCCACATCAGCTGGTGTTCGGGCAGAATCCCAACCTACCCTCTGTATTAATAGACAAAGCCCCAGCTCTAGAGGGCACCACTAAGAGTGAATGGGTTGCCAAACACATTTCAGCCCTACATGCTGCAAGAAAAGCTTTTACAGAACCAGAATGTTCAGAAAGGATACGCAGAGCACTAAAGAAACAACTGCGACCTACAGATGAGCGATATGAAACTGGAGACAAAGTCTTTTACAAACAAGTGACCTGTCCAGAATAGAAAGGACCAGGAGTGGTCATTTGTCAAGATGGTGCAGTCGTTTTTGTTAGACATGGAGGCACCTGTGTCAGAGTGCACCAACTCAGATTAAGGAAAGTTACTCAGGAGCATGAAGAACCTCAGCTTACCTGCAGTGAGGAGAACAATCAAGGACAACATACAGTGGACATCAATGAAGAGAAAGTAGGAGACACTAATGCAGTAAATTCTGAGATTCTGAGAATGATCCTTCGCCTGCTCCTGAAAATGCAGAAGCTGAGAGACAGCACACTGAGAACACCATCATAAAGACAGGTCAAATTGTGACATTCAGAAATACAGAAGGTGTCTCACAAAAAGCAAAAGTGTTGGGACGTGCTGGCAAAGCAACTGGGAAATACAAAAACTGGTTTAACTTGGAGCTGCTTGAGCCTGTAGAAGTGGCTGGCAACAGTGAATCAGCTGATCTGTCACAGTTGGAGGATCTTCATGTCCAGGCAAATGTTCATGATACGGATACACACAAGGATGTTTTCGTGATCAAGGACATGTCGTTTGATGAAGCAAAGGAAAATGAAATAAAAAGCTGGAAACAGAATCAAGTGTTTGAAGAAATTGAGGACAAAGGACAAAAGTGTGTCTCCACTCGTTGGGTGTGCACTCTGAAAGAGAGTGAACATGGATTAGCACCAAAAGCAAGGCTTGTTGCACGAGGATTTGAGAAGGTTTCTGATCTACAAAAGGACTCACCAACCTGTGCTTCAGAGTCACTGAGACTCCTGGTGGCAGTTATATGTCAAAAACAATGGAACCTTCTCTCAATGGACATTAAATCTGCCTTCTTACAAGGAATGGAACTGTCCAGAGACATTTTTATCAAACCTCCCCCAGAGGCCTGGCACAGGCATGCTTTGGAAACTGAGAAAATGTGTGTATGGATTAGCTGATGCCTCACTGTATTGGTATAACAGGGTAAAAAACATCATGATTGAAGCAGGCGGCATCATGTCTAAGGTCGACCCTGCAGTTTTCTACTGGCTGGATGAGGGCAAGAATGTAACTGGTGTACTTGCTTGTCATGTTGATGATTTTATATGGGGTGGATCACACATGTTTTCAGAGTCAGTCATACCTCACCTCAGGTCAAAGTTTAATGTCAGTCGTGAAGCGCATAATAGTTTTTTCCTATATAGGTGTGGATCTTGTTGCTAAGGGTAAGAAGGTACACATGTACCAAGACACATACATTCAGCACCTGCAGCCCCTACACATCTCACCCTCACGAGCAGCAGAGTCAGCTTCGCCCCTCACTGAAAAGGAGAGAGAGCAGCTCAGATCGAAGATAGGCCAACTTCCGTGGGTTGCGAGACAGAGCAGGCCTGATGTCATGTTTGATGCTAGTAATTTAGCATCTAGTCTCAAACAGGCTACAGTACAGACCATCAATGAAGCAAACAGAGTTGTGTGTAAACTCAAGACCAAGTCAGTTGAACTGAGTTTTCAACACCTGGGAGAAAACAGTAACTTAAAGATGGTTACATTCACAGATGCATCTTTTGGGAATCTTTCAGATGGGGGCACTCAGGGTGGGCACCTCATTGTTTTAATGGGTGACAATGGGTGGTTCTCTCCCATTTCATGGCAGTCAAAGAGAATTAAGAGAGTTGTTAGAAGCACACTAGCAGGTCTGTGGGGGCGCTGCACAAAGAACTACAGAAAGAAACAACACAAAAACTTCTGAAGACACTTCTTCTTCTGGAAATAAAAACGAAAACGGAGTGGCATCAAGTTTTAGCAGTTTTAGGAGTTATATTTGTCATTTTTCAAAAATGGACTCAGCATGAGCAGAAGATGAGGCAGAAGACCATGGAGAATGTTGTTTTTCACACAAGGCAGCTGACGGCTCCATGTAAGGTAAGAGAAATGCATGTTTGTTTGCCCTGTGCTGTACTCCACTTCTTGCTTGTGGAGCGGGGCCCGGTCTGTTTACATTCACACTGTACTGGAACCGCGCTGGAGTTCTCTTCTACCGGACCGAGACCTAGCGCCGTTTTGTTCCGTGACAGAGTTCGATGGTGCGTTCACACCTCCCCAAACGAACCGGACTTTCTAAGAAAACGAGCTAAAGTTCGATTAAAGAGGACTAAACAGGGCTGGTGTGAATGCACCCAAAGAGACCATCTAATCACAAGCAGAACTGGTTTGTTCCACTTTGGAGTAAGCTGTTGGGGGAAGAATCCGTTTTGTTGTGCGTTTCCTTGACTGATGAAGCCTTCCGTATCGAAGGTGAAACGTTTCAGCACAAAAAAAGAAACTGTCCAGATGACCTGTCTGAAAAATGTTGGATTGTATACCTGGATTATTGAGCAGGGACTTTGTTAATAAAACAAATAATTAAAAACAGTAAAATCAACATTTCAAGCGGAGTTAAAATCCAAAGAGAAAAAAAATGTGTCTTAAGAGAAGATTTAAAAACAAGAAATGAGTCAGCTTGTCTGATGTGCAACATTCATCATTAATTATCATAATCATTGATGATTATTTGTGTTCCCGGTGTCAAAATAGAAATCAGTGCTTCAGCGCTGCTGGTCTGCCCTTCTTGGCAGAGTCCAGCTCTGCTTGGTGTTCAGCTCCTACTCTGATTATGGTTTTGTTGTTTAGTTTAAGGCCTAATCAGTCATTCTAAAGGTGCTACAAGAAAGCAGCTTTTTTTTACATCATTATTTACATTTTTGGTGAAAAAAATGTTTTATTTTGTTAAATTTATTTGAAAATTAGATTTGTATTTTCCAAAGGAAGTTGTTGGTTTATATTAAGTTCTTTGGTGACAACTGATAAAAATATGTGAAACCAAATTTCAAGATGAACAGCAAACTTTATAATCCTTTCCGTTTGTCTCCACAGGGCTGGCTGGTTGATTTAATAAACAAATTTGGCGCGTTAAACGGATTTCAAATTTTGCACGATCGCTTCATGAGCGGCCAAGCACTGAACGTCCAAATCATCGCTGCTCTTATCAAGTGAGGAAAATAGAAATACAAGAAACCTTCAGCATGTTCACCATTTTGCCTCAATTTAATTTATCATGATCTTGTTACAAGTGTTTCACTCTGATTTAATGCTGTTCGTATTACAGACCTTTTGGCCAATGTTATGAGTTCCTCACATTGCACACGGTAAAGAAATACTTCCTTCCAGTCATCGAGATGGTCCCTCAGTTTCTAGAGAATCTCACAGATGAGGAGCTAAAGAAGGAGGCCAAGAATGAAGCCAAAAATGATGCACTGTCCATGATAATCAAGTCTCTGAAGAATCTGGCTTCCCGTGTACCAGGGCAAGAGGAGACTGTGAAGAATTTAGAGATTTTTAGGTTAAAAATGATTCTTAGGTGAGTGTTGATGCTTTGTTTGAATGCTTTGAAAGGTTTGTCATAAAGACCACTAATGTGGTTTTCATGTCAGCTCATCAAACGTTAACCAAGCTCTCCATTTGCTCCCACTAGGTTATTACAAATTTCTTCTTTTAACGGCAAAATGAATGCACTAAATGAAGTTAACAAGGTGATCTCCAGTGTGTCCTACTACACTCATCGACATAACCCAGAAGAGGAGGAGTGGCTTACTGCAGAACGCATGGCGGTAAGTAGAACATTAACATTTGCGGTTCAGCTTGAAGACTTGCATGTCTACAAGGTAATTTCTCATTGTTTTGTGTTTGTATTTTATTCTACTACAGGAATGGATCCAGCAGAATCACATCCTGTCTATTGTCCTGAGAGACAGTTTGCATCAGCCGCAGTATGTGGAGAAACTTGAGAAGATCCTCAGATTTGTTATAAAAGAGAAAGCTCTGACCATGCAAGATTTGGACAACATCTGGGCTGCACAGGTGCTCTAACATTAACTACATTTCAGTAAATTTAATAATATGGAAGCAGCTTTTAATTAGGGATGCACCAATCCACTTTTTTTTTTTTTTTTTTTACTTCCGATCCCGATACCTAAATCTGGATATCTGCCGATACCGATCCCTTTCCGATATCATCATCATAGATTTTATATGAGACTGTAATAATCTCCTCTCAAGTACAATTTGTACAAATATATGCATGCATGTCCAAAAAGGCAACTTGAGGTAAGTTTTTATTAATGTTGAATAATTTTCAAAGTTAGAATTAAATTCTGCTAATGCAAAGCATGTTTTGTTTTGTTTTCTTAGCTTTAACGTGGATATTAAAGTGATTAATTTAAATGATTGTTTGTTTAAAGTTATTTTATATATTTTTTAAATAAGGGGCAGATATAAGATTTTTTGTTTTCTTTCTGCACTCTATTCATTCAATGTTTTCTTTTTGATGAATTTGTTTTGTTTCTTTTAAATTAATAAATGAATTAAATTAAATATTAAATTACTTTAAACATCTGCTAAGTTCATGGCATAAACCAACAGACATGTTCCTGCTTTTAGTAGTATTTTACATCTCTTTATAATATAGCTGTTTTTCTTTCTTTTTTTTTTTTGAAAATATATATAATTTTCTTGTAATTTTCAAATCATATGTTTTTTTTCTGATTGTCTACTGTTGTACTGATAAATATCTCCTGGAGGGTAAACTATATCTTGGCTGCAAGTATCAAGCCGCAAAATCCTTCGTTTTCTACAACTGATAGTGGTTGTTCATTAATTACAATGAAGTTTAGCAACTTCTCGGTAAACATTCGAGCTCTGGGGCTTCAGCGATGTCTTCTTCTTGTTCAGTCCGCAGCAGGCAGTCTGGTTTCAGTCAGCCACGCTCAGTCTGCCCCTCCTCAGAGATGGGCAGACTGAGCGTGGCTGGCCGGGGTCGAGTTGCCTGTTTCGGGCTGAGCAAGAGTAGCGCCCCACTGAAGCCATGGAGCTCGAATGTCCAACGTAAAACTAACTTTACTGCAGTTTAATGTGGTGCTATGGCTCTGCAGACATTGCACGTTGCTGTCTTGCAGTGTTTAGTGTAAAATACTTTCACACAGCGGACATGTTTTGATGAAAAGTTGGTTAGCTGTTAGTCACAGTGATGCTAACTCAGTCCTCACGTTGTAGCTGGCTGCAAACTATGAAACGGATTTCCTGAATGTGAGGCAGGTCTTATTACTCTTGGTTCATGAGACACGCCTCCGTTCAGGAAATCCATTCCATAGTCAATGTGCAGAGCAGTTGGCAGGGAATCACATGAGGAGAATTTTTATCAGACACAGACATGCATCATGGATCGAAAATCTCTGCAGGTTGGATCAGAAAAATCTGATATGTAAATTATGCTGGTATCGGAGGCCGATATCGGATCGACCCCATCCCTACTTTTAATACCAAGTACACGCACAAATTTATCCATCTATCGATACAGATCTATATACCAGTACATATATACACACACATACACATCCATCCATTTTCTTATGCTTGTTACGAACTCGGGACACAAGAGTAGCAGCTTGATCAAAGAGGCCCGGACATCTCCAAATGTCATTAGGGATGGGGCTGATCTGATCCGGTATCGCCCTCCGATACCAGCATAATTTACATATCGGATTTTTCCGATCCAACCTGCAGAGATTTCCAATCCATGATGCATGTCTGTGTCTGCTGAAACGTCTCCTCGTGATTCCCTGCTAGCTGCTCTGCACGTTGGCTTGAAACTATGGAATGGATTTCCTGAACGGAGGTGTGTCTCATGAAACCCAGAGTAATAAGACCCGCCTCACATTCAGGAAATCCATTTCATCATTTGCAGCCAGCTACAACGTCAGTAAATACTCTTTTTATACGGCTCTGCTGAGGACTGAGCAGCACTGCGGCTAATGGCTAACCAACTTTTCATCAAAACGTTCGCTGTGTGGAAGTATTTTACACTAAACACCGCAAGACAGCAACGTGCAATGTCTGCAGAGCCGCTGTACCGAGAGGAGGAACCTCAGTCGTGACCTACAATACATGGAACTTAATAAACATTTGAAAAAGCACAACATTAAAGAGCACGAGTTGTTTAGCCAGGCACCACGGTAAAGTTAATTTTACATTGGACATTCGAGCTCCGTGGCTTCAGCGATGTGTTCCTGTCGTTCAGTCCAAAACAGTCTAAGTTTCGTCAGCCCCGCTCAGTTTGACCGTCTAGGAGGAAGAGCAGACTGAGTGCGGTTGACTGAAATCAGACTGCTTGCTTCACGGCTTGATTGAATACTTGCAGCCAAGATACAGTTTTCGTTTATCCTCCAGGATAATTATTAGTACAACAGTAGACAATCATAAAAAAACATGAATTGAAAAATGAAAGAAAATTTTATATATATATATATATATATATATATATATATATATATATATATAT